TCCCGAGACGGATTTCAGAGCGATTCCCGCCCCGACTCTGTCGGCACCCGTCCCCGATCGGTTTCGTTTCAGCTTGCGCATGGTAGCCCCGAGAGTCTGCGCAAGCATTGCGGCCCTCGTCCGGGGCCTCTAAGCGAATGAACGAGGTTGGTAGCAGCTGCGCCTCGCCCTGCACATGTAGACGTTTCGGCCCAAGCCATTTCATATGCCACCGAGCCCCTCTACATCAGCCTCGAAGGTTCGGAAACAAGTCTTTTGCCCGGTAAAGTGGGGCATTTCCGTGTAAATTGGGTTCTTCCCCGGTCAGACTGAGAGATTCTGAGAGCTTCTGAGAACCTCTGAGAGCTTCTGAGAGCCTCCCAGAACTTCTGAAAGCTTCTGGGAATTTCTGAGAGTTTCTGAACGCTTCTGAGAGTTTCTGAGAGCTTCTGAGAGCATCTGAGAGCTTCTGAGAGCTTCAGAGAGCTTCTGGGAGATTCTGAGCGATTCCGAGAGAATCTGAAAGCTTCTGAAAGATTCCTGAAGATTCTGAGAGCCTCTGGGAGCTTCTGAAGGCTTCTGAGAGACCCTTAGATAGTCTGAGAGCTTCTGAGAGATTCCTAGAGAGTCTGAAAGATGTTGAGAGACTCTGAGAGATTCCTGGGGAGATTCCGAGGGAGATTCTGAGAGATTCTTGAGGATCATGTGAGATTCTGAGATTCGGAGAGATTCTTATAGATTCTGAGAGATTCCTAGAGAGTCGGAGATATTCTTAGACATTCTGAGAGATTCTAAGAAAGTCTGAGAGATTCTCAGAGATTCTCAGAGATCCGGAGAGATTCGGAGAGATCCGGAGAGATTCGGAGAGATTCGGAGGGATTCTGAGAGATTCGGAGAGTTTCTGAAAGAATTGTAACGATTCTGAGAGATCCGGAGAGATTCGGAGGATTCTGAAAGATCCTGATGGATCTTGCAAGATCCTGATAGCTTCTGGGAATGTTTGAGAGCTTCTGGGAGCCTCTGAGAGCTTCCCAGAGCCTCTGGAGCTTTTGTGAGCTTCTGAGAGATTCTGAGAACTTTTGAGAGAATCTGAACGCTTCTGAAACGTTTGAGAACCCGTGAGAACCTGTGAGAACTTCTGAGAACCTCTGAGGGCCTCTGAGAAACGATGGAAGCTTCTGAGAACCTCTGAGTGCTTCTGAAAACCTTTGAGAACCTTTGGGAGTTTTTTTTTCAGAACCTTTGAGTGCTTTTGAAACTTTTGAGAGCCCCTGGGAACCTCTGACAGCTTCTGGAAGCCTCTGAGAACCTTTGGGAGCCTTTGAGAACCTCTGAGAGCCTTTGAGAACCTCTGAGAGCCTCTGAGAACCTTCGAAAGCTACTTTTACCACTAAGAATAATGAACAGATCACTACGTCCACTACGACCCCCTCCTCCTACTACTCGTGCTATTCGTGATACTCCTACTATTCGTATGAATATTGGTACTACACTACTACTACGATTACTACCACCACAACAACAACTACTACTACTAGTAGTAATCGTACTATTACTACGACGACGACTATTACTATTATTTCAATTTCTACGAGTAGTATGACTAATATGTTTACAACTACTACTACTACTACTACTACTACTACTACTACTACTACTACTACTACTACCACTACCACTACCACTACTACGACCACTACTACTACTACTACTACTACTACTACTACTACTACTACTACTACCACGATCACTACTACGATTACTATTACTACTACTACTACTACTACTACTACTACTACTACTACTACTACTACTACTGCTGCTGCTACTACTACGAATGCTACTACTACTACTACGACGACTACTACTACTACTATTTCTACTACTACTACTACTACTACTACTACTACTACGAATATTACTACTACTTTTACTATTACTACT